AGAACTAGGGTATTGTATTCTCGATGATGGGAATGCAGTACTGTTTTCACCTGTGTGTAATGTCCAACTTTATTGTTGAAGAGTTTCATGCTGAACGTGAGGTCTTTGCCAACTCCGCGTTGTGCAAGCTCCCCAAACCATGATCTTGAAGCCTGTAATGATAGAAACGAGTTGCTTTCTTTGAGCGACAAACAAAATGGCATTTTTCACATCTTCGGCAGCTTTTACTGGGTCGTACGCTGAGCCGCGCATGTAGATGTTTTCTCCAAGATCTTCAGTATTTGAGTGCTGGAAGACACATTTAGCAGCGTGTTTCACAGCGTATTTCTCCACATCGCAATCGTACTTCTGGAATATCTCGCTACCACTTGCTGCCTATCATCAATGTTGTCAGAGAAAATACCAATTTGTTCATGGCAGCAGCTTTAGGAGCATAACCTCCATAACCGTCTTTAGCTTTTCCATTAGCCACCAGCGATCTGCATGCATCAGATGTGAACTCGTAGAAAGCAAAAAATTCTTCTCATTAGATCTCTTACCTTAGCTCGTTGTGAACGTCCAAGAACTTTTGACGGATCTGATCGTTCATGCCGCCATTTGCGGGGCAAATACCTGGTAAAAAAGGCCTAACATTTTTGGCAATAAGCAGCACGAAGAGCTACTATACCTGCATAAGCAGTCGCGATTAGGCAGACCTGAAATGTTTATCAAATTGCTTAGTCAAAATTGAGAAAGTAGCGACTTACCAATAGAACGGAACGCATTTTGTGTGTGATGCTAGTTCTATGTGGCTGCTTTTATGCAGGTTGTGAGCTTTCACCCTTCTGACGTTGGCCATAAGGTGTGTCATCTCTCCATTATGAATTTGCTGGGGGATGTGTAAGGAATGTCACCATAGCTGTACCTCGCACATCAGGTGAATTCTGATTTCAAATAGAACATTGATTGCAAAAAGTACGAACGAAATCATTGACGTTGATGAGATCGATGAAAAAGTCTAGGCTGTCATCGAAGCAAGAAGCAATGTTTCATTAGCTTCATAGGCTTTGGATGCATTCGAAGCTAGAACGGCGCTTTTACTTGTATTTGGGATAAGGCTAGAGGTGGTTGGATCGCCAAGAAACACTTTTTTCTGAACATTTCACTCTATGCGGATTTCTTTCAAGCAATAGCTGCTTTGATGATCAAGTGTAGCGTGCATTGCTGTATTGCTTTTCATAGTCGGTTTGTAGTACCCAAATTTTGAGGCTCTGTTGAGTAGATCCCTATCTAGACTGTTATTGGAGCTTAGTCTAATAGGAATGTAATCAACCCAAGAAAAACTATCACATATTTCTTTGTGTGCACTAGGCTAACATCTCTACCAATATACTCAGATTGGTGGGGCTAACCGAGTCATTGCAGTATACCAGAGTTTTGTCTACGACAGGGTAGATTTATAACAATCGGCAACGTCGATGGCGTTGGTATTTTTTGCTTTGCTTTTTTCGCTCAGTGTTCTATTTGACATCAGAATTCACTTATGAGACAGCTATGATAACAGATCCCAACAGAAGATCTTCAAAATTGATGACACAAAGATGACACACCTTATGGCCAACGTCAGAAGGGTGAAAGCTCACAACCTGCATAAAAGCAGCCACATAGGACTAGCATCACACACAAAATGCGTTCCGTTCTATTGGTAAGTCGCTACTTTCTCAATTTTGACTAAGCAATTTGATAAACATTTCAGGTCTGCCTAATCGCGACTGCTTATGCAGGTATAGTAGCTGTTCGTGCTGCTTATTGCCATAAATGTTAGGCCTTTTTTAACAGGTATTTGCCCCGCAAATGGCGGCATGAACGATCAGATCCGTCAAAAGTTCTTGGACGTTCACAACGAGCTAAGGTAAGAGATCTAATGAGAAGGATTTTTTGCTTTCTACGAGTTCACATCTGGTGCATGCAGATCGCTGGTGGCTAATGGAAAAGCTAAAGACGGTTATGGAGGTTATGCTCCTAAAGCTGCTGCCATGAACAAATTGGTATTTTCTCTGACAACATTGATGATAGGCAGCAAGTGGTAGCGAGATATTCCAGAAGTACGATTGCGATGTGGAGAAATACGCTGTGAAACACGCTGCTAAATGTGTCTTCCAGCACTCAAATACTGAAGATCTTGGAGAAAACATCTACATGCGCGGCTCAGCGTACGACCCAGTAAAAGCTGCCGAAGATGTGAAAAATGCCATTTTGCTTGTTGCTCAAAGAAAGCAACTCGTTTCTATCATTACAGGCTTCAAGATCATGGTTTGGGGAGCTTGCACAACGCGGAGTTGGCAAAGACCTCACGTTCAGCATGAAACTCTTCAACAATAAAGTTGGACATTACACACAGGTGAAAACAGTACTGCATTCCCATCATCGAGAATACAATACCAGTACTCTGCGTTGATACCACTGCTT